AATCTATCTTTATGATAATGCCATATCACCTTCATTATTACAGCTCGGTAAGTTTTAAAAAGTTACTGAAATAGGAAGTTGATAAAATTGCAAGATTCAAGATCAATATACAAAAATCAGTAGTACTATTTTGGTAATACATGACTAGAAATTAAAACTTGAACATACTTGCTACACAGGACTGCTATCAATTACATTATCCCTAAAATAAACCCACAGGGGAAAATCTGACAAAACTTGTACATGACCTGTACACTAAAAAACACAAAACACTACTGAGAGAAACTTTAGGAGGCCCAAAGAAGAGAGCCATCTACCACATTCATGGGTCAGAACGCTCCACACTGTCGAGATGGTCATTCTCAAATCTGTCTATGGTTCAGCGAGACCTCAGTCAGACCCTCAGCTGGCTTCTCGCAGAATCTGACCAGCTGCATGGGGATGCAGAGGTCCCCAGAGTCTGGGGCCTCACCATGCAGCTTCCAGGCTAATTATGAAGGCAAAGATTTGGTTTTTAATTTCAAGCCATATATTTGACATCTCAAGAGTGGCATTTTGTTCCTGGATGGTTACCTATTTGAGTGGCCTTTTCTCTTTATCTGCCTTCTTGCTCTCTTTTTAGGATAAAAGTAATTTTTTCCTTGTTTTCTTTTTGTTGTTTTCTTTTGTTCTGAGGCAGTCTGGCAAAGTTGCCCAGGGTGATTTCAAGTGATCCTCCCACTTCATCTTCTTGTTTAGTAGAACTACAGGCACTGACACCACTCCTGCTTTGTGTAGGGGCTGGGAGTCTTTTTCTTTTTCTTCTTTTTTTTTTTGAGTCTGGGTCCCGCTATGTAGTTTGGGCTGGACTTAAACTATGTAGCCCAGGATGGACTTGAACTCGCAGTGATCTTCCTGCTTCAGCCTCCCAAGTTCTGGGATTACAAGTGTGCATTTGTGGCTGTTCTTTTTGTATTTAGATTTGTTGTTGTTGTTTTTGGACTTTGCCTTTGTCTTTCAAGCTGTAGGGTTCCTTTAGGTGTCAGATGACCCTCAGTTGTCTAATTATATTAAGAGTGAGACCACATTCTAAGGGCTAAGGCAGAGGACTGCCTCGAAGAGCCCAGCTAGGTAACTTAATGATTTAGTGAGACCCTGTCTCAAAATAAAAAATAAATCAAGGGTTGGGAATATACAACCATACGGAGGCTCTGGGTTTAATCCCTGGTGTTATAGATTGGAAACTGGTGGTCAACTTAACACTAGCGGAATTAAATCACCGTGTGCTGACCATAGATGTTCCACCTGAGGAAGGCTGCCAACATAGAGATGTGGAAAAGGAGAAGCTAGGCATTGAGGTGTTGAGACATTGAGGCACTATGGATTCTCCTACGAGTTGCTGTTTGAGCCGCTGGTTCTCCTGGAGAGGTTCTGGTCCTCATATCGAGCATTGCTTCCTGGCTCCGAAGGGGAAGACCTGTGCAGCTTAGTCTCCAGGATGAACTCGTCACACTGGCTTCCTGGCACATACTCGACTGTGCTTATCCTTAAAGGAGCTCGGGGCCTCCGTGCTGCTGAGGATGACTGTGGTGCTTTTCAGGACAGCCCTGGTCTTTGCTACATGACTTCTCGGCTCCAGCGTAGAACCCTCAACCTACTAGCACAGCTCCTTCACCCCACTGGCATGGGCTTTCTGGCTTCCACTGCTGACCTTTGGACCCTCCTGGCATGGATCTATAAGGGTGACTGGCGTGAGTCTTTCTTGTGGGCTCTGGACTCCAGTTGGACTTGTGGGAGACATTGTCATAGGCTCTGGGTTTTCATCTGGACTCATGTGGGACATTGCCCACAATCAAGGGATTCAGGCCCTTGATTGAATATTCTATGCCTTTAGTGTTGTCCATAGATTTCCTGTATTTTCTTGTGTTAACTCTGGGTGACTATCATAAAACAATATTATAAGTTCCATGTCTGATTCTAGTTGTTCTCTGCACAACCCCTGACTACACCTGCTATCCTCAAAAAAAAAAAAGTGACAGAATAGTAAATTATTATATTTAGATGTATTTTCAATTTACAGAGTAATTTCCCAGCTGTTTTGTTCCATCTCACAGTAATACTGCAGATTACTCAAAACAGCCACCGTTACCCCCAATTTACCAAGAAGACAGGAAAAACCATGCCTCTGTGAAGTCAGAGTTGGCGGACAGACCAGGACCTCACCTTCCAGGACGCAGGAGAGGGTGTGAGTTTCCAGGCATGGCTCAGCCCAGAAACAACTGTTCAATCAGTAACTGGCCCACTTCCTTTTAAGACCCTGGCTCCATTTCCAGGCCTAATACAGATCATCTCGTGTAACCTCATTTTATTGTTAAGAAAACTGAGGGTGAGCCAGAGGGAGTGAGCGTCTCAAGGTAATAAAGATAGCAAAGCTGGGGCAAGGGCCAGGATCTTCTAACTGCCCGAGGTTTCGGCCCACGCCCACACACAGGGCAGGGACGGTGGGAGCAGGAAGAGGGCTCAGGGATGCCAGCTCGGCCACTTGGGCTTACCTGCACAGCTAATCGCTCCACACAGCCAGGAGCCAACAGAAGGGAAAGTACATCTACGCTTGCTTCTGCCTGTTTCTCTCACAAATCTACAGGTGCTCATATCAAAGAATGCTAGGAAGACAGGTGCCCGCTTACCATAAACACAAAGTCAAGGTCGCCTCTTCCTAACTGCCACCCCTACTTGGGTCCTGGCCAAAGTCCCCACAAAACATGGGGCTCTAGGCCACTGAGACAAAAGAGTGGGACTTACAGGAGGATGGACAGAACAAGGGGTTCAGGGTGTGCACTGAGGAAAGATGCCGGAGAGATACCAGGGTCACTGCCAACATGGGGGGATTCGACACCCACAAAAGAGAGTGTAGAATTATAGTTTCTGTTGAGCACACTAGTGCAAGTGATACATACGTGCTCATCTGAAACAAAACAAAAACACATTTACAGAAAGCCAAAAAAAAGTGTATTTTATTTGCTGATATATAGAAAGCCTTGCGGACACCCTTCCCTAGGTAAGACACGACCCACAGCTGAAAGGTAAACACTGAGCAGAGCTCTGTTCAGATCATCCAAAAGATGCTCCCCAGGAAGAACTCCTTCGTGAAGATCCCCACACACACGGACAGACCTGCGACCAAGGTGCGAGCTCCCCGCAAGGCGAGCTCCCTCCAAGTTCCTCGGCTTCACAGGCCTGGAACCCACAAATCCAAAGAAAGAATCTGCCATTACCCCATGACAGAGAAGCAACCAGAAGTGACTCCATGATTATAAACCCCAAAACGGCACCATCTGTCAGAATCTACACAAGACTCCAACCAAAGCAGATGGGGAATGAAATAAATCTTCCTGTCTGGTCCTGTTAGACTGCTCCTCATTTCATGAAGGTTGGTGAGGTCTTCTAGAGAGCAGGGGACCATCCAGCAAACCTGAGGAGGTCACTCAGACTCTCTGGGACCCTGACCGGGGGCAACCTGCTTCTGATACAAAAGATCAAGATCCAGGGGCAGAGGTGACGTCACCAGCTGGGAACAGGTGTGTGGCTCGGACGGGAGAGGACCACAAGGGTACCAGGAAGCATGTCACTACCAACTGTCACTCAGGCATGGTGCACGCTCTTCTCTCACATGGTCAGTGACTCAGGTGCCCGCCCACCAGGTGGGACAGATCGCAATCCCATGATGTCATCACCACAGCCAGGGATTCCACACAGTCCAAGTGAGAGCAGAAAGTACGTACTGCACAGGGCAATGGCCTTCCAAGGCCAGAAGACATCTGCACACATCAGAGATCTCTGCTCACCCAGCCAGCACAGTCTCACCACCACTCCTCGACAGCCAGCTCCGCTGAGGTCTTGGCCACAGCCCCTAGAAATGCCACACAGCTGAAGGCCACCTCAGTTGACAGACCCAAGAATGACTTTCAAAACCACACACTGTATTTGTCATCTGGGCAGCACTGAGCACTGGAAGTGTGGGTGGCCCCCAGATAGCAGAGGTGAAGTGAGAGAAAGCCCTCTCCACACACTGCTGACTAAGACACACCCGGTTTTACTACATCTGGCTTCTGTGCGCTTTGCAGATACCTGGGCTATTTACAAACTGAAGGTGGCATTATTCACAAACCCTGGACCCTGCATGGAGCAAATCTATAGGTGCCGCCTTTCAAACAGCTCAGGTGATCAATAGCAGTTTTGAGCTACAGAGTATTTTTAATTAACATATACACTTTTTTCTTAAATATAATTCTCTTGAACACTCATTAGACTACATAGGGTAGGCACAGCTTTTATATTCACTGGGAAACCAAAACACTCATGGGCCTGCTGACAGGAAGGGACTGGTTCCCACCTACTGGGCTTCCCCAGGTAAACTCCAGGGAGCACACCTAGCCCACATGCAGGCTCCTGAAGCTGAAGCCAAGGACACCTCACCACTTAGGTCAGAGCCCAATAACGGCCTAATGCAGAGGAGCAAGGGATGACAGAGAGATAGTTCACTAAAAGATGACAGACGACAGTTGAGAAGGAGAAAAAAGGCCCACTCACCAGCCTCTCTTGAGAGGCCCACAAGAGGCCACTACAGTTCCCACTGACCCAACCATCCAGCACCTCCCAGACTTGTCTAGTCTTTTGAAAAAATGATGACAAGAAATAAACAAACAAAAGCACTTACTCTGCACCCAGATTTCCAAGTACTGTTTGCTGGAGATCCCTCAGGGGCAGAACCTGTATCTGAAAGGTTCTAACAAGTGCCCCAGGTCATTCTCAGGAACCAAAGAGGACCTGGGAGGTTCTTTTTTTTTTCATCTTTTTTTTTTTTTTTTCCTTTTTTCCGGTACCAGGGATCGAACTCACAACCACCTGCTCGCAAGGTAGGTGCTTTTGCTGCTGAGCTAAATCCCTGGCCCCATCTGGAAGGTTCTAACAAGTGCCCCAGGTCATTCTCAGGAACCCAGAGTTTGAGAAATTTTACTCACCGATCCAGTTTCTAGGAGGCTCGCCCACTTCCCACAGAGGTGAGAGGAGCTGCCAGGTGCACACCGAGCTCTGCTGGCCTGTTTTAATCCACCACCGGGAGGTGCCTGCGTGTGGCCCCACCTTACTTCTTGGCCCTGAGGACCCTCCCTCAGCAGGTCAGCACAGCACCCCTAAGTCTCCAGATGTTACCAGTCTCCCTGGAATCACAGGCTCCCAGGGAGCTCCTCCTCCAGGCTCTGGAGGCCTGGCCAGCTGACAGTGAGCTCTCCAAGCCCCCAGGGGACACCAGGATTTTCCGTATTTGTGCAGCTCCAGCCCCTAAGGAAACAAGCTGGCCTGCTGCCAGTCCCACTGACAGTCGCTATTCCTGCCCAGAGTACAGAGTCCCCAGGAACCTGGTCCTGCCTGCTGGCAACACGGAAACCAGGCAGCCTGGCTCCTGCAGGTCTCATCCCTAGGACCCACCCCTAGGGCAAAGCTTCTCCTTGTGCCTCAGTCTCTGGCTCTCAGAATTGGGTTAATGACCCTTTATAGTCCTCCCAGAAAGACAGTTGGAGAACATAATTAGCTGGTCCGTGGTAATGACAGGGCCCTACCTACAGTCTCCCTTTGATTCTGATTTCTCCACCTGACATCTAACCACCTGCCTAAAGCCAGGCAGCCCCATTCCTTCCTCTGGCCTACTGGGAACAGCTGGAGTGCAAAAGTTAAAACAAAATAAAAGTCCTCCAGAGTTGGAGTCCTGTGTGGGCCTCAAAGACCAGGCCGGCGCCAGGCAGGGCGGCACAAGCCTGTCATCCCAGCCCCCTGAGCGGCTTTGGCAGGAGGGTGGTAAGTTCAAGCCCAAGCCTGGGCCTTGGCTCACAATAAAAAAATCAAGCTGGACATGGTGGCACTTGCCCGTGACTCCAGCACTCGGAAGTCTGAAGCAGAAGGACCCTGAGAGCTTACAGCCTGAACTACACAGCGAGACCTTGTCTCCAACAACACAAAACAATATCAGAGACCGAGCAGCAGCACACAACTTGGCAAATCTTCCGGGGCCCCAGGCATGCGGGGTGGGGCTGCATAAGGCTGAGGTCCCAGCGCAGGGCACCAGATTGTCTCCTCTCCTGCCTTCAGGAGTCAGTACTTGATTTTTTTCACCTTTCTTTATTTGGCTGTTGAGGTTTTCTAGTGCTAGGGACAGAACCCAGAGCCTACCACACCTACCTGGAGGTCCAGGCAGGCTGAAATTGCCCTCCAGGACAAGTGCAGGACAGTTTCAAGGCCTGTGTCACCCTGGAGGCCGAGGGAATAGTCTCTCTATACCCCCAAGTGGGGGCATCACTTGGCCTTCTCCTGCTTTGCCCTCTTTTGCTTCCATCTCCAGCTTTCTCAACCTACTGAGCTCTGGGTGACCCCGACAAGTTTGCAGAAAACCCATTTCCTAACCCATCGGCCTGCCCGCACAGTGCCCAGAGGCCCTGGCTGCAGCAGTGTGGCTCAGAAGGAGCCGCCCCCCAAAAGAAAGAGATGTGGCCAGCCTCACATCAGGACTTTGCATCCATCTCCCTGACTTCCCTCTGAAGCCGATCCTGATTTCACAAGCTAGTATGTTTTATTTCATGAATGAAACTCTTAAGGAACCTGCCATTGAGGACATAAAGCTGAGAGACCCTCTACCCGCTTGCCCAGACTCCGAGCAAACCTCCATTCAACAGTCCTGTCACACTACTGGGGGATCCATGGCCCTGGTTCACACTTCCTCAGCTGCGTGTATGTCAGGTTCCACGCAACTTTATCACTTACACAGGCTCCCAGCCCGATGAACTGTCACTGTCACTATGAACATCCCCGACAAAAGGCTCCTCAGGTCACTTTCTGTAACTTCAGCCAGCTCCCCTCCAGTGCCCCACATCCCTCAACCTCCCCTCAACCAAGCCACCGGCCTCCAATTTCAACATGGAGTCATTTCTTAAATGTGACAGACAAGCAGCCTATAGAATGTGAGGATTGTTCACCACACAGCCCCCTTGAGAATCACTCAGGTCACTGCATCTGTCAACAGAAGACAAGTTTCTTTCTTAGGATTGCAGATTATTCAGTTGGTTCTAGTGGCACCTCAGTTTGTTTCTACCTTGGAGGATCCAGGGACACAAAAGTTAACCAGAAACCCAGAAGTCCCCCTACAGCATTCTCTAACACCTCTTTTATGGCCCCAAGCGGTGGAAACTGAGCCACAGATCTAAAAGGCCTCTGGAGCTATTGAATGAACTAACAGGGAAGCCCTGCCCCCAGGAGAGGGCCCTGCAGGCCAGGGGGTCCACAATTACAAACCCCTTCCCCCACTGCAGAACACAAGAAGTAAGAGACAGGTCTGGACCTTAATTCTTACGCCGGCCCCACAGTAGAGGGATCCCACCTCCCATTGCACCAGGCTATCAGAAACAGCTAAGTGTCCAGTTACCATACACTCCTTCTCTCAGGTGTGCCGACTTCCGTTTTGTAGTACTGCAACAGATCCAGGCTAATGTCTCCTGCTCTAGGCAAAGCCAGAAGACACCACATGGCACTCCCGCACTCCCGCACACCCTCTACCTGAGCATGTGCAGTTCCTTTAGTGGTTCAACAGACTGTTTTCCCAAACCCTGGCCACCTGGCTTAACCTCATTAAGGCTATCTCCTGGTAAATGTGCTCTGAATCCACAGCGTGACCCACTGAGGTCTAACCTCCCATGTCCTGATACCTGGGTTTCCATCTATCACTCAGGAATCCACTCAGGAGCACACCTAAGCAATTAAGCAAATACAAGAGTAACCACTTGGTGAGAGCCTACACAGCAATGAAAATGTGGGCTTTTAAAATCAGATAATTAACAAGGAAAAGCTATGCAAGATAAAGTGAAAAAATATTCAAAAAGTACAGCCTCCCACTGCCTGTAATCCCAGCTACTCAGAGAGCAAAAGCAGGAGAGTCCAAATTCCGGGCCAGCCTGAGCAAGCTGCCATCTCAAAATAAAAAAGACCCAAGGATGTGGCTCAGGAATAGAGCAACCCTGGGCTTGGTGTCCAGCATAGGCAAAAAAAGATTGATGCATTAATTAGTTAATTACCACTATGGCAAAACTCCAGAGTGAAATTAAGAGTGTGCCTCCATTTGGAGAAGCATATGTGTACATGTATTTGCTGAGGTCCACACAGACATCACTATATGCCCAGAAGATAAGCAAGACACCTGAAACAACTCATTTACAAAGAAGAAAAGTTTATTTTTGCTCTCAGTTTTTCAGTGAGTGGCGGCACTTCCTCTGTTCTGGGCGCCTCTGGCGGTACATCACCACCAAGGCAGGGGCTCAGGCAGAGCAAAGCCATTTGCCTAGTGGTCAGACAGGAGAAAGAGCCCAAGCTCCATGGTCCCTCCAAGGACCTCACATATTCACACCCTCGACAGGCTCTGAAAGCTACACCCCTCCCCACAGTGCCAAGATGGGGACCACACCTTTAATATTGGCCCTTGAAGGATACTTAGCTCTATGCGTAAGAGTTAAAATGTGGCAGGGAGAAATTCTCACGGTCTGATTTTCTCACCTAAAAGTCTCACCTAAAATTTTCACCTTTTAATCTGACATAATATTACTTGATTTTAAAAAAAATTCCTAACTTCTGTAACCAATAATAATGGTATCATATAAAAGGCTCTAGGTTGGATCCCCCGCCTGAAACAGAAAAAAAGAAAAACGTGTAGGCAGTAACAAATCGCATCTCTGCATCAGTATTTTCCCCCGTTTTCAAAATTCTCCTAACTTATCAGTTGGCCAAGTTTTCTTTCAAAAAATATTTTATCAATAAATCTATGGCTATATAGATATCAGCCTCTTAATAATAATTATTAAAGGTACAGCCAAATATACAGGGTAAAACATACTTTAGGTTTTAGGCAGCCCACTTTACAAGCTTGGACTTTACGGGGCTGCTGTCAACTCACAATTCCTGATCTAAACCAGGCTAGGTGATGCACACCACAGTCCCGGCACTCCGAGGCTGAGGCTGGAAGATTAACTCAAGTCCAAGGCCAAACAATGGATTCAAGGCCAGACTGAACTACATAGCAAGGCCCTGTCTCAAAAAGTCATAAAATAAAATAAATTATATTTTGAAAAAATCTTGGCTGTACCGTGGTGGAGCCGCACCAGTGCTGACGGCTGCGGGGAAGCGTGGGACACACAGCCCACTCTCCTGACCCAGATGGACGCGTTCTGCCAGCAGCCGCTCCTGCGGACCATCCAGCACTCTCTGACTCATCAGCAAATCATCCAAGGTATCAGCCTTTCCCTCCTAGCTGTGTGTCACTGACAACGCCACCCAGCGAATGACCAAGCCCTCACCTGCATTGTTACTAAGAGGAAATGGCATAGGGCCCAGGAGGGCGCTGGGGCAGCCCCGAGCCCCTGCACAGAGGGACCCTCATTGGCTCTGCTGCTCATCAGGCTCCACCACACCCAGCAGAGCAAACACTGCCTGAGGGAACAAAGAGGATCAGAGTGAGACCCAGGCCCAGCACGGGGAAACTGACTTGTTTGCTTGGTGAGCAAATTATTCACAGCAAGAAAAACCACCAACAGAGTGAACAGACAGCCCACAATGTGGGAGAGAATGTTTGCCAGCTGTTCCTCAAAGGATTACTATCAAGAACTCAAAAAAACCAGCTCTCTGATTTACACACCCAACCCAAAAATGGGCATTTGAGATGAACACACACTTCTCAGATGAAGAAGCACAAACAGCAAATAAATACGTGAAAAAATGTTCAGCATCACTGGTCATTCAAGCGATGCAAATTAAAACCACACTGAGATTCCACCTCACCCCAGAAAGAATGGCTACTATCAAGAAAGGAAGCAATAACAAATGCTAGAGGGGCCGTGGGGAAAAAGAAACCCTTCTTCACTGTTGGTGGGAGTGTAGACTGGTACAACTACTGTGGAAATCAGTGTGGAAATTCCTCAGAAAATTAGGACTAGAGGTCCCATTCAACCCAGCTATTCCCCTTCTGGGTATCATCCCAAAAGAACTAAAAACATCGTATCACAGTAATATATGTGCACCCATGTTTATAGCAGCACAGTCTGTAATTGCTACACCTTGGAAACAACCTAATGCCCATCAACTAAGGAATGGATAAAAAAGATGTGGTATTTTTATACAATGAAGTACTACTCAACCACAAAGAAAAACTGGAGACTTTCATAGGTAAAGATACAATTTGAGACC